CACACACCCACACAAGGAGCTCCCACTACCCACCAACCACCACCCACCAATCACCACCCACCACCCACCAACCAGCCCTCCCCGTACAGCCTGGACAGACTTTCTTTTGGGGCAAGTGCTGTAAGCGAGCAGCACTGATGGAGGCCGGCGGCACTGCGGCACACGAGGGGGTGGGGTGGACAGAACCACGCCCGGCCGCCTTTGTCTCCCCGAGTGGCGATGTTGATGACGACACATCGCGCCGGGGTGCTCGTTTGAGGCCGAGTCGACCTCGGGGAGGCCCAGGACCGGTTCAGACAATTGTCAGCGGCCTTGGCCGTGAGCGGGAATCGAACTCGGCTCGCACGCTAAACTACACTGCACTACCGCTCCCCCAAGCATGCACACACACACGCACACGCGCGCACGCACGCACACACACACGCATACACGCGCACACATGCACATACACACGCACGCACACACACGCGCGCACACACGCACGCACACACACGCCCACACGCCCAGCGGATTGTAAGACGCACGCACACAAGGCGACCGTTTTCTGCTTTCAGAAATAAAACACACCATGTAGAGACGAGCGATAAACCGCGAGCGACACAATTGCACACAGCCACCGCTTTCACCTCGACGGGGTAAAAGGGAAGGAGGGGGGGACGTTTAAAATAAACCAAACGAGCAGACAACCCTACACCACCGCCACCACGGATTTTTGTTCGGGGTTATTTGATCGCAGCAAGAGGGCTCCGTGTAGGCGGAGGCATTTTTAATCAAGTGCTCGTCAGAACGAAATGTTGTATTGCACGGCTACAGACTTGTGGCTCTTCACTCCGAGCCGCGGGCGGTCTCGGAGGGAGGCGGTCAAGAATCCGTTTCGGTCTGACCACGAAGTCGCCACCCACCAAAACCACCACCACCACCCCCCAGCACTAACCAGCACCACCACCCCCACCACCAGCACTAACCAGCACCACCACCACCACCAACACCACCATCACCCCCAATACCACCACGACCCCCAGCACTAACCAGCACCAACACCAACCACCACCAACCACCCAACACCACCAACCAACACCACCCCCAACACTAACCAGCACCAACACCACCACCACCACCCCCAACACCACCACACCCCAGCACTAACCAGCAAACACCAACCACCACCACCAACCACAAACCAACACCACCCCCAACACTAACCCAGCACCAACCGGCGCAAGATGGTCGAAACCACGAGACCTCCTGTATACCAGGCGAGGTAGTTAACGCCTCGCCGCCACGGCGGCGGCACCCATCATCATCACCAGCCGTGAACTGTCAAAGGGCATCCCAAGCGACCGCCGGTCATTCGGGGGGGGGGGGGGGGGGGTTCCTCGTGGTGCAACGAACCCACATCTAGTGCCCGCGCACAAAGTCGCATTGCCCAGCGCTCCATCTCCCTCTCGGTCCGCGTTGCCCCGCTCAACTGAGCCGCCGCTCCCTGCCGGGGTCGTCTCACCCCCCCTCCCCTTCTCGTCGTGAGCGAGCCCACAGCGACTTGTCAGCGCGGATGTCCCCTGAAACGGCGTCAAGCAGCTCTCAGACACGTGTCCTTCCGCCCGAGTAACGTCACGCTAATTTATGAACTCCCATCGCTCGACAGGGGGGTGGGATGGGGGTGGTTAAGTGTATAAGAACGTGAATTAAACTGGTTGCGACTGAGATCGCTAGACGCATCGATTGCGGCGTTTGTCCCATAACATCTCTTGGGGAAACTCATATTCTTCCTGGAGCATCGTCAATTTACTTATTCGTACTCTTAGGTTTTTCCTGGCAGTCACGAAAGCTTCAAATCTAGAATTTACTTATTCATGTCTCCCCAATGGGACCGCCCCCTTATACCCTTCATTTTAGAGAGCTCAGCTGATGCCGAAAGCCTTGAAGCTCGTGGAAAAGGATCCACTCGCATCGGCAGCATTTTCCTCAAAAATCCGACATCCGCTGGCCCAAACGCAGAAAAAAAGACACCGCTGCGCTGGCCTTCGCTTATCGGGGCTCTCCCTCGACCCAGCCAGAGGCAGGCAGGCAGGCAAAAACGGACGGATACTTACTAGGCAGCGTGATTAGTATGAGATTAAGTACGTGCCAGCTGTGGTCCCCATTACGCCTCGCTCAGTGTGACCGACGGCTGTGCTCATCGCTAAAAAAAAACCACCCACGCGGTTTTTTTTTTTCTCTCTCTCTCTCTCGTTTCTTCGCGACCTCCAAGAATCTCGAGCTCACTAATCGCGATCTCAAGAATCACGACCTCACCATGACCAAGAAAATCTCTGGCCCAAACTCGAGGCCGCGAACCGACTATTCGCGTCTTACCAATACCACGTCAACACGGGCCTGCTGGCACACGGTTGGGTCACATCACCGCAGCCTGGGACGCGTGGGTACACGGTTGGGTCACATCACCGCAGCCTGGGACGCGTGGGCGCACACAAAGCATCAATTCCCAGCGAGGCGAAGCACCGCCGCTCACCCGGAGAGACGCGCTCGCAATAAGAACGTGGCAATCGTAGCAAACAAACAAACACACGCATGCACGTGTAACCAGCGGCGCAAACGCTCCCTCGCTCAAGCGAGTGTTTGTTTGCGCGTGTCTCTTTACAATTGCCGGCTCTCCTTCGATGCAAAACGACGGGCGAGAGAGCGCCCGGTGTCGACCCCGCAGCGCCGCCAACACACGGCAATGTTGCGGGCTCGGCGAGGGCACGTTCGAAATGAATGCGCCCTTTGCAAAAGACACGGGCAATGTTCTAGGGGGAGAAAATAATACCGACGACGCGGTCATTGTAAGACGCTTAGAAGGTAGTCTTTATATATTTGTTGTAAACACAGCTGCTTTTCTCAATGGTAAAGTAAAAAAAGAAAACACTACCTATTATTGCAGTTATTAGGAATTGCTTGAACGTTTTAGCGTCATGATATTTTGACATCTACACACGGGCCGATCCAGCAAGAGGAACGATAAAACGAGAACAACCCAACGGGGGGGAACCAGTCGCCCGGAACCCACGGGCGGTGGAGCCGGAGGGCGACGCAGGCAGCTGGGGGGGGCCCCGAAGCGTTCCGTTCCGTTCGGGGTTCGTGGCGTTAAGCCCGGCGGTGAAGGCAAGGCCCAAGCCATGATAATCCATTCCAGCGGGAGGGGGCGGGGGGGAGACAACACGGGTCAGAATCCGTTCCGGGATTTGTGGCGCTCGGCAGCGCGAACACTTGAAAAACATATCATTGGAACTTTTTTGGCCAGTGTGAAAGAATGAAAAATGAGAATAGGTGTTAACCCTTTCGATTTAAAGTTTCGTGACTGCAGGGATTCATCTTCTTGGTTCTTTCGGTAAAGTCACGTAGAAGGGAAGTAATAAAATAATAAAAATAAAACATAAAATAATTCTCACGACGGACCTGTTCTTCACCTGCAGACGGCTGCTTGCGTTGTGGCCGAAACGTCGTGAGAATAATTTTATTATGTTTTATTTTTATTATTTTATTACTTCCCTTCTACGTGACTTTACCGAAAGAACCAAGAAGAGGTGTTAACCCTTTCGCCGTTGTCTGGTCTGACACTGGTGGGACTAGGCCATAAAGCAGTTTGTCTCTGGCGTGTAGGCCAATCGGTTTCACAGGCAATGCATACATCATCATCATAGCATGTTTGGTAGCATGTTGCATGTTCACCACAAGTACCGCGTGTGATTAATGTGGAGTTGATTCCCTGCAAAAGGTGTCTAACTTGGTGTTTGAACATCTTAGCACGTGTTTTTATTGCGAGAAAGGGTAAAACTAATTCTTATTTTTAATTGTAAAAAAATGTTTTTTGTGCTAAACTCTACAAGCGTGAATAACCTGAAGACGAGTGCGAGGGTGGATTATGATTTTTTGATTTTGTAGATTCGTGGTCGTACGGTCTGGGCCCGCCGATCGCCACCACCCTCCACCCTCCAACCCTCCACCGAGGGCCAAGAAGAAGCCCGCGTCGCTGTGTGGAGGAGGGTGGGGAAAACCGCATATTGGCGAAGCCGGCGAGCCAAAGCAAAAATAAATAAATAAATATATGAAGCTTATTTTTTGGCGACTTTCCCGTTTCGCTTTCGGAAGGCAGGTGCGATCCACAGTCTGCGCGTGAGTTTGGAGGTTCCCGGTAGGTAGATGGAGTGGGGGGGGGGAGTGATATCCGACGTAAACCATAACCTCGCGTCTCTCCGCCAACGAGCGACAGAAACGCTCTCCCGGAAGAAGTCGCCCGCCCGTCCGCTCTGAACGCGTCGTGACAAAATACACACACACGGGTGCGACTACGCGCAGTTCAAAAGCTGCTCCCCCAGCCGCAATAAAAACGTAGAACTTCACGTGGTTAGTCCGACCCCACCGACTGCCTCCCCCCTTCCCCCTCGTCCCCCCCCCCCCCCCCAGTGGTGGGTGCTGCTGGTGCCTCCCCCCGCCGGCGCTGGAGGCAACCGGAGTCAGCAATCCTCCGAGCTCGATGGTCCGAGCTCGAGACGCGCGTCAAAAGTTCCGCGTGCAAATGTTTTATTTACCTCCGCTGGTACGTTCTGCTGTGGGCCAATTAAAAAGCACCACGCACGCACGCGCGCGCACAGAATGCGTCAACGTGACCCCGAGCTTTGGAGGCTCAAACTAACGATCGCAGCCTGGGTCTCACCAATCCATGCCTTGTTCTTCCTCCTCCTCCCCCCCCCCCCTCACAGTCAGACTTCCCCTGCTCCCTGGTTTGTGTCGTCTCCAGAGAGGCCGGCGTCGCGGGCGCAAGCCTGGCGAGTTTTTCCACGTTCCGGGTCGGTGGGCCTTGGCGTCGTTTCATCCCACGGCCTGGCCCCGTTCTTTTACTTTTGTTTGCCCTCTCTTCTTCGCCGAAGGCTGGCGACTCGGCCCGACGATCGGGAAAAATCCGACGGCGCCGCGTTCGAGCGTGGTAGGGAGCGTGCGCGCCAGTGCAGTCGGCCCACCCTCCTCGTCCCTCTCGTGCCAGCCGCCCGCTCCGCTCCGCCCCGATGCACGTGCCGCGTCCGCCCCGATCTCACGGCAGGCGATCGTCAGCTGCCGAGCACGGAGCCAGCTACTGGCGGGTGCTCAATCCGGCTAGAGGATTCTGATCCGCCTGGACGGGCTGAGTTGGACCGCGTGAAAGGCCCCTATCTGGATGGATGTTGATGATTATTGGCAAGGTCCACATGATTGGTGAGATGCAGATAAACGGCGAGATTCAGATGAGTCCAACGTGGATGGAAGATTTAATCCACAAAGAATGGTGACATCTGGATGGTGCAGCTGGAGAGAACAGCCGATCCAAGTTGTATTATTGTCCAATTGAGTTGGAGATCTCCGCTTGCGGCTGATCCAGTTCGGCCAATCTGGATGGTGAGGTCTCATCCGGATAAGGGACGCTGATCTCGGCGGATTGTCCTATCCGAACAGAACAAACTTGACCTGGCCGCATCGTCTCATATTTACAGATGACTTCAATCGGACGGACGCCCCGATGTGGCCTCAGGGCCCGATCCAGCGGCAAGTGGGTGCGGCGCAAGCCCGGGCTCAGCGGCTCGATCCCGATCTGGCTTAACGACGGTGCTAACCGGTTCCTACTTCCCTCAACGGCCACCCCCTCCTCTCTCCGCCGACCACCGCCTGTTGTGGCACCAGCCCCTCGCACGATATCCGGGCTCCGGCTCCCTCATCTCGTTGACAACGGCCGCCGGTCCTCGCCGCTTTAAAACCCGGCGGGGCACATGTCCGGCGGACGGACGGACGGTCACATGCGGCCACGCAGAGCGAGAGTTGGGAGAGCAGAGGAGGCCGCCGGCGGGAAGGGCAGTGCGGCGGGGGCGGAGGGAGGGAGAGAGGGGGGGAGGGGGGGTTTAGGGTGGCGGGGGTGGCGACCAGGTGCGGCGGCGCTACGACCCGCACAGGCGATGCATGATGCTGAGGAGGCGAGGCTGCACGATGCCAAGGAGGGGTCGGCGGGCGGGGTCACCGTCCCAGCACGCCTCATCAGCTGCCAGCACTCCTCGTCGAACAGGGGCAGTCGCTCGGGCCGCGTGCCTGCACGCCGCACCAGAGACAACGATGATCCCACCCCCCCCCACCACACCGTGTAGCTTTAACGGACTGTCGGAGCAAAGTGCTGTTTGCGAGTAGCAGCTACGAAGGCCGGGCACTGTGGCGCACGAGGGGGTGAGTGGCAGCACCACGCCCGGCCTCGTCCGTCTCCCGAGTGGCGATGTGTTTACACACCGCACCGGGCACTCGCTTGAGGCCGAGTCAAAGTAGGGGAGGCCCAGGACCGGTTCAGATAATCGTCACCGGTGGTGACCCGTGGGCGGGAATCGAACTCGGGTGTCCAGGTTCGTAGGGCACCGCGCCGCACAATGACTCGCGACGCGCACATTAACCAACACCACCCGCATCTGTTCCGTGAAATGCCGCCAGCGGAGAGTGCCTTCCGCACGTCACCTAACGGCCTCAAAGTGAACCTAGCCTGGCGCGAGCTAGGCCGCGGTGACGTCGCCGCGTGCGCACGCCTAGGCACAGTCGCGCGCGACATTTACGCGTTGTTGATGACGCAACGTATGTACGTACGTCGAACTTTTGTCGCGCCGTACGTAGCCGACCGTGCTAATCGGAGGTGCGGTGGCTTCCTAACATCGTAAGGAAGAGCGCTCCGGACGGCCGCCGCAGAAGCGCACCTGGAGCGGTCGCGTGGGTAGTATGGGTCGCGTGGGTCGTGCGGGTCGCGTGGGTCGCGCGGGTCGCGCGGGTCGCGAGGGTCGCGAGGGTCGCGAGGGTCGCGTGGGTCGCGTGGGTAGTGTGGGCCACGTGGGTCGTGCGGGTCGCGTGGGTCGCGAGGGTCGCGTGGGTCGCGTGGGTAGTGTGGGTCGCGAGGGTCGCGTGGGTCACGTGGGTCACGTGGGTCGCGAGGGTCGTGTGGATCGTGCGGGTCACGTGGGTCGCGTGGGTTGCGTGGGTCACGCGAATGCCGTGCGTGCTGCCTCACCCCTGCGCACGTTGGTCCAAAGCTGATCCTTGGTGGCGCACCGCTCGAAGGCCTCGGGCAGCCGCACGGCGCCCGGCGCACACGTACCAGAAGAGGATGCCGAACGCGTACACGTCCACCGAGTTGTCGTACTTGCCTGCGCCGCGCCGCGCCAAGGCCGCGGTTGCGGGGGCGGGGAGGAGACAGAGACGAAGGATGGGGGGGGGGGAGGGTACCATCAAAAGGTGGCGCAGAGAGGTTGTGAGCAGGAGGGGGGAGGAGGAAGAGGGGGGAGGATGAGATGAGGGGTGGGGGTGAAGGGGATGGGTGGTGGTTGGGGGGGCGGGAGGAGGAGAAGGGGGGAGCAAATGCTTCTGAAAGCACAGGGTGTGCCTGTTGGGTGTGTGTGTGTGTTTGTTATTTGTGTGTGTGGTGTGTGTGGTGTGTGTTTGTTATTGGTGTGTGTGGTGTGTGTGTGTTTGTTATTGCTGTGCCTGTTGGGTGTGTGTGTTGTGTGTGTGTTTGTTATTGGTGTGTGTGGTGTGTGTGGTGTGTTTGTTATTTGTGTATGTGGTGTGTGTGGTGTGTGTTTGTTATTGGTGTGGCCTGGTGGGTGTGGTGTGTGTGCATGTGTTTGTTATTGGTGTATGTGGTGTGTGGTGTGTTTGTTATTTGTGTATGTGGTGTGTGTGGTGTGTGTTTGTTATTGGTGTGCCTGGTGAGTGTGTGTGTGTGCATGTGTTTGTTATTGGTGTATGTGGTGTGTTGGTGTGTTTGTTATTTGTGTATGTGGGTGTGTGTGGTGTGTGTTTGTTATTGGTGTGCCTGTTGGGTGTGTGTGGTGGGTGTGCGTGTTTGTTATTGGTGTGCCTGTTGGGTGTGTGTGGTGTGTGTGCGTGTTTGTTATTGGTGTGTGTGGTGGAGAGCAGCGGCACACTGGTTATCGCACTGCCCTGCGAACCCGCGACCCGAGTTCGATTCCCGCTCACGACCAAAAACGGCGGCGATAAAATGAACCGGCCCTGGGCATCCTCGAGGTCGACCGAGCCTCAAAAGAGCACCTGGCGCGTCGCGTAATCATCGCCCCACGTGTGCCGTGGCAGCCTCCATAGGTGCTCGCTCGCAGCACTTGCCCCAAGTGACGTACGTAGGAAGTTTGTTTTCGGTCATCGATACACATTCAAAGCTGCCTAAGCAGCGAGAGCCTCTTCACTAACGAGGGCGCTGTCGAGAGAAAGGGCGGCGCGGGCATTCTGCGAGCTGTTTTGCGGTCCGTTGCGTTTCCGCCGTTCGTCACCGACGGACAAAGGCCGCTCGTTCACTCAGCGAGGGGATACGGGGGAGAGATGGGCACTCGAGGAGAGAGAGCAATCACGGCCACCCCCCCCTACTGAACGTATGAATCAGCGACTACGCAGGATAAATCCATCTCGCCTCTCCACGGTTTCCCGTGAGCGAACGCAACTCGGGGGGTCCGTGCGGGGAGGGGGGGGGGTATCGGTAAGGTCACCCCACACGCGCGCCCCGTGGAAAATGACAACGAGACGTAATGGTGGCTGCGGAAGGATAAACGCGTTTGTAGCAACGGCGAAAACGAGGAGCGATCGCAAACGCGCGATTATTATTATAATCACCATCATTTAAAGAGCGCTACGGGAAGGCTCACGCTCGCTCGCTGTGCGATGCTGGATCACCGGCACGAAATGCTCGGAATTTTATTTCTCCTCCGAAATGTTTACTCTGGGACTCGCGCGTGAATCACGTGCGGGGGGAGGGGGCTGTTCTCCTGCCGTGCGCTAGCGGCAGGCATCGGCGCGTAAGCGTCGCAAGCAAGCACCTTCGATTAGCGTGCTTGGCTCCGTACGGTGCGAAAGACGTTCAACTTCACTCACCTGCTGCCCGTCCCCTCCCTGAACACTCATCCCTTACATCCCTTACCCATCCCCCGCTACTGCTGCTACTCTTCCCGCATCGGCGGCGAGATGTTAATTGCCTCGCCTCGTATGCAGGAGGTCGTGGGCTCGATCCCGGCCCCTGGAGATGCCCGTTTGTTTGGAGTTTGCGTTCCTCTCTCCCCGTGGTCATGTGGAGTCCCCCGGTTATTCCATCCACACTTAGAATCAACATCACACGTTGGAGCATTAGGCGGCTTTAAATGTCCCTGTGACGATAAGCCACTTTGTTGAGCGATCATTGTGAGAGCGAGGGTCGCTTCTGAAAAAAAGCTGCATAGCTCAGTGGAGCCTGACCTGGTAAAATAAAAAAACAGTTACACCATTGGAACCTCATTTGCCAGTAAAAAAATCTGATAATTCGTTTTTTACCCTTCTATCTGGCAACAAAACTGACACCTTTTTTACAAGGAGTCATGCTTGCATAGACCACAATACCTGCAGTCATAATGCAAAAAAAAAGTTTTTTTTTTCTCATTTGATATGTACTCTAATCCCTGCATAAGTAGTTCGCGGACTCGGTGAGACGTGGATCTTCAGTGTTGAAGTGCATCACCTTCCAGGGTTACTTGAAAAGAGCAAGGCTTCACTTGCTCGTTATCCAGCATCCGCAGAATTATGACTTACATGCTGTAACTTTCTGTTTTTTGTACGTATCTACACATGCTGAACTTCTTTCGCACCCTACGTAGCCGACCGTGCTAATCGGACGTGCGGGGGGGGGGGGGGGGGGGGGGAAACGACAAAAAAACTAAAACACAAACAGCATTTCTAAATAAATTAGTTTGCCAATCTGGATTTGAAATTGCATAGCCCCAGTGGCTTCCTTTGTCACCAAGATCCTCTGCGCGTCCTTCTTGGAAAACAGTTGACTGCTTCAAATGTATTACGCGCGGCAACAAATACGGACATTCACAACAACCACTGCACGCCTCCTCCTCTTCCCCGCGTGCCGCAGATGACCCCAATATTTGCCGCACGGCATCTTGAGACGGCGGACGCATTTGGAGGCTCTAGAATTCCAAATCATAATTCCGTTAAAGGCAGCGCTGACGGCGAGCACAGTACAATTTGCTTGAACGCTTTCCATCTACAGTTTAAAGTGTTTCGGCATTGGCCTGTTGCTCCCATCCATAATTGGGGGGGGGGGGGGCAGGTAACTCTTGTAAAGATTACCTAAAATTAATGAAAGTGTAGTTATAAAGTTGCGTGACTATTCGGAACTCGTTCACCCCGAAGAAAAGTAACCAAATTGGAGACCAGAACTTGGTAGAGATAAGAAAAAAACCCCAGCACTGTACAGAGAAGGGTCGACGGCCGTGATCGGAGCGTCCTGCTGCGAGCCTGGCGCCAGCGCTACCGTGGCTATCGTCTCGTTGCCTGGCTTGTTGCTGTCACGTTCTGACCACGTGCCCCTGCTGTACACCTGTGAAAAAGAGCTTTGAATGCTCATCGGATTCCTCCCGCAGCACGAATAACCATTCTGATTAACGCAAATTAAACACGAGGGAGGGTGACCGAGCGGTGGTGGGAAGCGTTGCACGTAGCCATGCGAGTGCAAGGTTTTTCTTACTTGTTAGTTTGCCCTCGAACTCACCAGAGAAGAGCTCGGGAGCCATGTGGATGGGCGTCCCCACGATGCTGCCCGACATCATCGCCTCGGGTTTGCAGAATCCCAGGTCGGTGATCTTCGCGCGGTTTGACTTGTCCAGCTACACAGAGCGACGCACACACGGTGCATGCACACAGGCACACATGGTGCACACACACGCACGCACACAGTGCACGCACAGCCGCGCACACGCACACACGCACAGACGCACAAGCACGCACGCGCACGGGGCACGCACACACGCACAGACGCACACACGCACATGGGGCATGCACGCACATACAACAACCGCCATTCGCCAATAAGTGCCGGTGACGTCACCACGACGCTTGTACCACGAAACTACGAATTAAGCACGCATGCACGCACGCATGCACACACGCGCAAAGACAAAGATTACCGCATACAGCCTTGAACTGACCGTTGGGGCAAGTGCAGTTAGCGAGCAGTTACCCCACACCAAAGACAAAGATCCCCCGTACAGCTTAAACAGACTGTTGGGGCAAGTGCTGTCAGCGAGCAATCTATGAAGGCCGGAACGGCACACGAGGGAGTGGGTGGTCAGCACCACGCCCGACCGCCTTTGTCTCCCCAGTGGCGATGTTTACTACGCATCGCACCAGGTACTCATTTGAGGCCGAGTCGACTTAGGGGAGGCCCAGGACCGGTTCAGATAATCGTCACCGGTGTCGGCCGTGAGCGGGAATCCAACTCGGGCTGCCGGGTTCGCAGCGCGGCGTAGCGCTAACCGCTACACCACCCCAGCTACCCCAACACACAGCACAAATAACCGTTATCCGCCACCGGGCGGCGGTGACGTCACCGCAGTGATCTTGCCAGGCAAGGTGCACTCTGTGCCAGGCTAGGTGCGCCAGGGTGACGCTCTCCGGGAAAGGGGTGGGGAGCGTGCGGTCAAGTGGGCGGACGTACCAGCACATTCTTCAGTTTGATGTCTCGGTGGACAAGGCCTTGGCTGTGCAGGAATCGGATCCCCTCCACCACGTCCAGCGCCACCCGGAGCCGAGCCGCTAAAACCAGCCCCCCCTAAGAGACAAAACAGATCCCCCCCCCCCCCCCCCCCCGCAAAGCCTTTACAGACCGGCGCAGGCACGAGCAGTCAAGGAGCATCTCACGCACACGTACAAGCGAGCACTTGAAGGGGAAACACATTTTTAAAATAAATGAAATGGTGACAGCTTTTTAAAAGTTTTTTATTTATTTCACGGTAAGCGATGCTTGGGGCACATCCGTCCACGCACCCAGACAAAAGGACAAAGATCCTCCATATATCTTCTTGGTTTTTTCGGTAAAGTCACGTAGAATGGAAATAATAAAATAATAACAATACAACATTATAAAATTATTATGTTGTATTTATTTTATTTTATTATTTCCCTTCTACGTGACTTTACCGAAAGAACCAAGAAGATGAATCCCTGCAGTCATGAAAGCTTTAAATCAAAATCCTCCATATAGCCTGAACAGACTTTCAGGGTGCTGGTAGCAAGCAGCACCTATGAATGACGGGCACGGCACGCCAAGGGGGTGGGTGGTCAGCACCACGCCCGGCCGCCTTCGTTTCACAGGTATTCATTTGAGGCTGAGTCGACCAAGGGGAGGCCCAGGACCGTCAAATCGTCACTGGTGTTACCCGTGAGCGCGAATCGAACTCGAGTCGTTGGGTTCATAGCGCGAGGCGCCAACCACTACACTCCCGCCTCCTCCAGGCCACATACACACACCATATATACACTATGCAGATCTCCACCAGACACCATGCATATATATAGCCTCGAACAGACTGTTGAGGCAAGTGCTGTTCACGGGCACCGATGAAGGCCGGAACGGCACACGAGGGGGTAGGTGGCTATGGGTAGGTGGCTAGGGCCACGCCTGGCCACCTTCGCATCCCCAGTGCTGACGATTACACACCACACCAGGTACTCGGTTAAGGCTGCGTCGGCCGTGTTCGTATCGCAGTGCGCCGACCACTGTGCCACCGCTCCCCCACACACACTCGCACACAATACACACGACCACTGTGCCACCGCTCCCCCACGCACGCTCGCACACAATACACACGATCACTGTGCCACCGCTCCCCCACACACGCTCGCACACAATACACACGACCACTGTGCCACCGCTCCCCACGCACGCTCGCACACAATACACACGATCACTGTGCCACCGCTCCCCCACACACGCTCGCACACAATACACACGACCACTGTGCCACCGCTCCCCACGCACGCTCGCACACAATACACACGATCACTGTGCCACCACTCCCCCACACACGCTCGCACACAATACACACGATCACTGTGCCACCGCTCCCCCACACACGCTCGCACACAATACACACGACCACTGTGCCACCGCTCCCCACGCACGCTGGCACACAATACACACGACCACTGTGCCACCGCTCCCCACACACGCTCACACACAATACACACAACCACTGTGCCACCGCACCCCACACACGCTCACACACAATACACACAACCACTGTGCCACCGCTCCTCCACACACGCTCGCACACAATGACACACGACCACTGTGCCACCGCTCCTCCACACACGCTCACACACAATACACACAACCACTGTGCCACCGCTCCCCACACACGCTCGCACACAATGACACACGACCACTGTGCCACCGCTCCTCCACACAACGCTCGCACACAATACACACGACCACTGTGCCACCGCTCCTCACACACGCTCGCACACAATACACACGACCACTGTGCCACCGCTCCCCCACGCACGCTCGCACACAATACACGCGACCACTGTGCCACCGCTCCCCCACGCACGCTCGCACACAATACACACAACCACTGTGCCACCGTTCCCCCACACACGCTCGCACACAATACACACGACCACTGTGCCACCGCTCCCCCACGCACGCTCACACACAATACACACAACCACTGTGCCACCGTTCCCCCACACACGCTCGCACACAATACACACGACCACTGTGCCACCGCTCCCCCACACACGCTCGCACACAATACACACGACCACTGTGCCACCGGTCCTCCACACACGCTCGCACACAATACACACAACCACTGTGCCACCGCTCCTCCACACACGCTCGCACACAATACACACGACCACTGTGCCACCGCTCCCCACACACGCTCGCACACAATACACACGACCACTGTGCCACCGCTCCTCCACACGACGCTCGCACACAATACACACAACACTGTGCCACCGCTCCTCCACACACGCTCGCACACAATACACACGACCAGTGTGCCACCGCTCCCCCACACACGCTCACGCACAATACACACGACCACTGTGCCACCGCTCCCCACACACGCTCGCACACAATACACACGACCACTGTGCCACCGCTCCCCCACACACGCTCGCACACAATACACACGACCACTGTGCCACCGCTCCTCCACACACGCTCGCACACAATACACACAACCACTGTGCCACCGCTCCTCCACACACGCTCGCACACAATACACACGCACTTCTCTGCTCCGTTTGCAAATGCTCACTCTCAAGCACGAGACTTTCATTTGAATATGTCGTCGGGCCCGAGTGTTCTGATCAAACAAAACCCCACGCACTGATTCAACTGCGCGCTGCTGATTGTATCCACACTTTGAGCAGCTCTTGGCGCCCGCTGGTCGATAAACGAAGACAAATGCTCACAGCTTCGAGTGCGTGCTTGTGTTTCGAAACACGCGCGCGCGCGCGTATGTATAAATAACACAACCTGAATGACAATACTAATACGGACGCGGGCTGCTGCTGCTGCTGCTGCTGCTGCTACGATGACGACGGCGGAGAAGAAGCAGCGCCGGGACCGTCACGCTCGCGCGTCGGTATCCGCGGCTAAGAGGCGGCTCGCTCATTGTCCCGTCACAAAAGCGTGGCGGGGAGCGTTAATGCCGCTGGCGGAGAAACCGGGTGGGTCGGGGTGGGTGCACTTAGCAGCAACTTCAATACTCCCTTCAAAGGGGTGAGCGGCACTCTCTCCTCACTCTCTCTCATTTTAGCGGGGGGGGGGGGGGGGGATTGGGCCTTTTCTCTCTAACTACACCGGGAAAGCAGTCCGCGGGACAAAACGCCTTTGTTCGGCGATCGCCGCGAGGACGGACGGAAGGATGCGGGGCTTGCAACGGCCGAGCCGGCCTGGTGCACTAACCCTTTCCTGCCCTCGGGGATGTTTTGTTTGCGATCGCGGCGAGGCGGCCCGGACGGCCGCGTGGGGAGCCCCGGCCCAGGGTCGCGACGGAGATGCCGAGCCGGAGCCGGTGAGGTCGCGAGAATCCGGGCGTCGGCCCGCCACCGGGGTGATCGAACACGAGTTCTCGAGCGAAGCGAAGCAGACGTTCTCTCTCAGCCGGCTCACCCGTGACCGCACCAACGGGCACGTCCAATTCCGTGCCGCGCTTAATTGCGGATCTGACTGTCGGGTGATGTAAATGTTATTCACGGTGGCAGAGGTGGGTGGCAAAGTTCCGTCCCCTACTGCAGGGATCCACAGCCCCCAGGCTGCGGCTGGTACAGGTCCGCCGCCTGTTAGGAACCAGGCCGTGGACCGTAACCCGGTCCGTGAAAAAAGTTGTCTTCCACGAAACCGGTTCCTGGTGCCAAAAAGGTTGGGGACCGCTGCCCTACCGCACGAACGAGGTCAGGTGCAGGGATATCGCAAGTAGTTTTGCGATATCCGCTTCCGCACTTCGACGTTTAGCGAACAAGGGAGACGTTGCGCCGTTCTGCGTGAGATCCGTTCAAGCCCTGACATTCACCCTGCAGTGACTGCTGCCTGGACAACAGCGGTGGAACGGGAGCGAAAAGACAGATGGACGGACGGTCCGACAGTCGGGCGGACAGATGGATGGATGGTCAGAAGAAGTATGGATGGTCAGACAGATGGACAGACGGACGAGCGAATTGTGGCTGAGCAGATGGACAGACAGTTTGGACAGACGGACGAACGGACGGATGGATGGAATGGTCCAATGGAGAGTCAGAGAGACAGACGCTCGCATCGCAGTCGGGGCGAAGTCGAGCCATCTCCGGGGTAAACTCAAACTAAACTGTTTTATTTCACCAGGTGAGGCCCACTGAGCTATGTAGCTCTTCTTCAGAAGCGACCTGGCCACGAATGATAGCTCAGCGGAGTGGCTTGTCGTGCGGAAGTTTACAGCAGCCAAATATTCTTCACGCACACTTCAAGATGCGGAGGGAAAGACCGCGGGACCCGGAGAAAAATCCACACGACCACGGGAGAGAGACACGCGCAAACTCAGGATCGAACCCACGACCTCGTGTGTATACCTGGCGAGGTAGCTAACAACTCGCGGATGCAGAGCTGACGCGGCGCAACGGACTCGGACCGTCGCTCTTTCCTCCTCATGGGTTAAAAAATCGCGGCGGCGGAGGAAAGAAAAAAAAACAAACCCAAGTGCATCTTTTTTTAACAAACACAAGCTGCGTGGAGTGGCCGTAATTAAGAGGCCTCACGCGGAATCTTTCAGCTCCTTGGCGCGTTTTATTTATTTATTTAGGCCTGAGAGCAGAAAAGATAAGGCTCCATTTGCAAGGGTCAGAACCGCGCTCCCCCCACCCCCCAGCGTCTCGCTCTCTCTGGGCTATTACGCGTTTTTTGTTTATCGGCCACAAAACAAATCCCTTCAAAGCCGTCCCCCTCTTATTATTAAAACACATGCAAAGGACACGTGAAGGATGCCTCTTGTGCATTTGGCGGGCGGGGCGCGCGTTGTTTTGTTTGTATTAATATTTTGTTTTACTGAATTCGGCTAAACTTGCAGCTCGTCGAGTAATATTAATAATAAAACGTTGCTTTGAACGTGACGCGACGGGCACCTTTGTAGTGGAGGCGGGTGGGAAAGTGCTGCCCCGAGAGCGGGCAAGAGGTCGCTGGAATGGATCTCACAAGTAGTTCTGTGACATCTCCTTCAGCGAGGGTGGCGACTGGACCCTTCGTCGTTTCATAAACTGGCGCCGATAACGCAGCAGGTA